TTATTACGGTGTATCCATATAAATGGCCCACCCTGTATATTGTATCTTAACTTATTTTACTTGTAAGGATCAGTCAACCAATGAGCGCAGCGTTTCCCCTGTGTGACAGCTGACTCATTTGCATGATGAAGTAAAGTTGTCTACAATAATAACTGAAAAATTAAGTAAAAGAATTGAATATGGAAGGAATGTAGAATGAAAATGCATTGAATGAATGGGTCTGAATGAATCTCTGCAAATGTATATAAATACAGAAAAACCTTTCATAAATGAAGGTCCTGTATTTTTTTTTTATTATTATTTTTAATTCACTTAATGCTACGTTAATTTATTGAGTCATACATACGTCTGTACACCATCGCCTGATCATAGCTTTAACACCTTCTTGTCCTCAAACGGTACACTCACCCTTGTTTTAATCATAAGCACAAGCCCAGATTCCAACACTTAACCCCCACCCAAACACACACACACACACACACACACACACAGAGGACACCATATTTTTTTTGTTTGTTTGTTTTTATGTGTACCATACAAAGTGCATGAAAAGGTAGATGTGCTGCGTTTTCCTCAGCTGTGCCAAAGAGGCAAAGACTCCCTCATCATCCTGTTCATTATTTATTCAAAGGTATTTGATGGAATTAATAATGCAAGAGGATAATTTATAAGCATTAGGTTGTCTGCGTAGCTGTCTGAGTCTATTCTTTCCCGCCACCTTTTCTCTGCTTTCTTTGGCTCTCACTCCCATAAAGAGGACTCCCACCAAGCTTCTAAATGCGCGCTTATATAAACCTCTTTTTCCGCTTTGTCTGAGACTCCCCCACAAATCCCCATCTGACAGTGTTCTCGCTCTTTTATTCCTACTGTCTCATGCCTCTGACTCCCTGTTCATTTTTTTCCATGCTCGTCTTTATTTCTCTCCGTCTACAGTATATGCCTCCCACATGTTTTGTGTACTTTCTCTTTTTTCCTCCATTCCCATATTTCTTTGTTTTCCTGTTCCCCACAACTTTACAGAATTACATTTGCACTTATTACCAGCAACCATCTCCAGTCGATTAGAAACTCATTACATTTTCATTGTTTTTATTGTAGCCAAATGCACTGGGGACACCCTATGGAGGTGGATCAAGTGAGAAAAATGTTGCACTCGATGCGTTGATGCTTTGCTTTGTTTACACTTAAACAAATTTATTCCATTCTGTTTTGATTTGATGCATTATACCGGGTGGGGAAAGGGAAAAAAATAGTCCTACTTGTTTTCTCTGTCTGCAGTATTGCCAGTGGTTTCGGTGGGGCTTTGTTTGTCTACCTGAATCGACTCATTGTCCAGTTCATGAGGAAACAGAAGGTCATCAACAAATTTCTAATGAAAAAGTAAGTATAATCACCTTAATAAAGCAATGGGTGCATACAAAGTACATACCAGAAAGAATATTCACTGCATTTTCTCAAGTGATATAGTAACATCTGATCGTTTTTTTTCTATGTAAAGCAGAAAGCATGGTGCATTGTTACTTTAAACTTGTGTCAACTGTCAGGATAACATTGTACAATAACCATCATTTGAAAATGGGAAAATGTAAGTTGATTAAATTTTAGTTAATAGTTTTTAGAATTGGCCAAAGTAATGCAGAAATAGTGTTTGATAATTGGTTAATACTGTAATTGCTTTGTAGTAATTGCAACTTTAATGAAAGTTGCAATTTCATGACCCTCTGGGAATGAGAATAAATGAATGTGCTCAAAACGACAATAACAATCTCCCGTTCCACCACAAACTTACTAAAGCTGCTTAGCAGAAATCGAGAGTCATCATACCAGGCAGTGTTTTTCCATTCTTCTGTAATTCAATTTTGGAGAGTCTGTGTGAACTGTAGCCTCGGTTTCCTGTTCTTAGCTGACCAGAATGCTACCTGGTGTGGTCTTCTGCTCGCGCTAGGCCATCTGCTTCAAAATCCAGCATGTTGTACATCCTTGTTTCTCTGCAAACCTTGGTTGTAAACAGTTGACAGGTGACTTCCTATGAACTCAGAGTTCATCAACAAACCAGATTCACAGAGAGAACTGCTGCTTGGTGGATAATATAAACTCTAGAGATCATTTAGTGGGCAAATCTCACTACTTTAAATGAGTTGCTCAGGTCATTTGGCACCAACATCCATGCCATTCAAAGTCACTTAAATCACCTTTCTTCCCCATTCTGGTGCTCAGTTTAAACTTCAGCAGGTCGTCTTGAGCATACTGCCTACATACTGAAATGTGTTGAATTGCTGCTATGTGATTATCTCACCCTAAAAAAAAACAGTCAGAAGTTTATAAATGGGTATTAGGTACTGATTATAATTAGATTTTTTGTTAATAGTACCTGTCCACTACTGAATTAATAAAATAAAAAAAATAAAATAAGCACATCGTGTAACATTGCATCCAGCGGAGTGTGAATGGTAGCTAGAAAGCACGTAACAGCATAGAAGACGGTGAATGTGGCATCTTGTACAGAGCACTTTGAGTACTCCTGGAGAGTAGAAAGCGCTATATAAGAATCAGTCCTTTTACTTGTAAAAGCCAAATTCAGATTAGGAATTTTTAGGGTTTGTAATATTAAAATAAGTTAATGTAGCATCAGATGTCAGACAAAATAGCAGAAATGCTCTTTTTTTTCTTTATTTGGGAGCATTATGATGTACGTGACCTGTTCTTGATCAGTGTCAAGGAACATTATGGACAAATGAGAGCAGCTTATTTGATTTGTAACTTTATTTTTTCTTTTTTAACCCTGTAAGATCTCAACCATGAAATCATTGCCAGAAAATTCATTTTTTGGGAAAATGGAGCATTTATTGAACCTTAAATCTTTTTAAAAGAAATTAAATATTAATTTGCACATATTAGTTTTAATTTGAACCATATTTTTACAATTTAAAATTTTAATAAATTGTGCCATTAACCTCCTAGGACCTGGTGTGCACATTTGTGGACATCACATTTTGGGTTATTTAGACCAAAATACTCAATTATGATCAATTATAACTGATATCCACTTACGAGGACATTATACTGCTACTGTTCTATCAAAATATTAAACGAATGTCCTCATATGTGGCTCCTATTTTTCTTAGAAACAAAAATCAGGTTAAAAAAAAATCTGGTAATTCTTTGTTTTTACATTAATCGGGTCCCAATCAGCCCAAATATCAAAGAGAAATTAAAAATGCATGCCGTGGAAGAGTTCAGGTCTTAGGAGGTTAATTTCGCTTCTTTCAGGGGACAAAAAATCTCACTATATAAAAGTCTCAAAAACTCATGTATCAAAGATGATACACGATTGGATTAAAAGGGATAACAAAATCCTACAAAAGACCTAGAAGATTTTCTCTTTCACATGACACTGAAAGCTGAGCACAGACCTGCTCAGTAGCCGCAATAAAATCTGCTCCCCTGACAGGATCCTGTAAAACAAAAGGTTAAACATTGTTGGACATTTGCACAAATATTGGGATAAATAGCGTTAATTGAGTTGTCTGAAGCGGTGCTAACAGGAACGTCGTCATGTACTCACAAATGTGCAGACTTTATATAATCAAAGAAAACAGTTTTATCACCAAGCCTATTTAAGTGTCACACATCGATTGTGCCTGCTTTTTAAATCTCTTTTACTGTTTCTCTCCTTGTCTTTCTTCCTCTTTTAGACGTCTGCTGTATCCAGCACTGGTCACTTTAGTCCTTTCTACCCTCACATTTCCTCCTGGCTTTGGACAGTTTATGGCTGGAAAAGTACGTTCCCCAATTTCATTCAACATATATTATTTTTATTACATATACTCAACACCCTGCAACTATTACATTGGATGTAAAAGAAAGCCTGGGGCATTATGGACCATTATGGTATGATATTGTATTATATTTAAAATTTATGTTATGTGTCCACTGCATTTTTTTGTGTCGTAATTTATGTGCAGTAAGTGTCACTGTGCAGGCCCTGAGTGCATTCAGATGTATCCATCTAACCATGATTTTCATGTCTCACTGTGTTTGTGAGCCAACTTAGATCAATAAATAACAACTTTATTACCATTCATGTCAGGGTGTAGTTGTTTTTTAATGTGTGCAGCGCAGGTTCACATGTGTTTGTGTGTCACCTGTGTACCCTGGAGGATTGGATGAGCATACTGTATTTTTGCTCCTGCGATGACTCGCAAGTGTGTGCTTGTGGCTTCTCTCCAATATCACTCACTTCATCTGTCTTAATTATCAGTATTAGAAAGGGAATAGCCTCTGCATCAGAGGATGTTGCACACACACCGACAGTACACACGCATGTGCTGTCGCTTGGTCTTGGCCGCTAATGAGACCGTGAGTCAGGCCTGTATGGCTCTAAATCTGCCCACACTGGCCCACTCCTCTTTGGAGTGCACACTCAAAATTGTGTATCTTAGCCTTACTCACAACCTCTTCATTGGTGAGCTTTGTGGATGTGGGCAGCGTTATCCCCACCAGTGTGCACCGTCAGTTTTAAAAAGCTGCAGCTCACTTTGTGCTCTTATACTCAATACCTGCAATACTGAAAAAGTTGGAATACTTTGCAAAATGGAGAGTTCTCCAGATTCTCTAAATCTTTTGATTTTATGTACCACTGATCAATACTTTATAAAACTATAAATGGACTTTTTCACTTTTAAGTACAAGTCTTATTCACCCAGAGACCCACATATTCATAAGGTGCTATTATCTATAGCTAAGCACCTTCACACTTCACTATCTCACCCAAGGATGCATCAGCATCCTTTTGCTGACTGCTGAACCTCTGCCCATCTTCACTTCAGAGAAACGCTGCCTATCTGAGATGCTCTTTTTATACCCAGTCATGTTGCTGACCTTTTTTTTTTACCTGACATGTTGCCAAGTAACCTCATTAATTGCACAACTTTCCTCCAGCTGTTTCTTTTTAATACCACTTAAAAAGAGGTATTAAGATGAGAAATGGGTAATGATTTTGATTTTAGCACAAAATTCTAGGCGCATGTGACCAAAGTTTTCTCTTTCATTATCACTTTTGTTGTTCCACACTGTCTTTTTTAGATAATGAATTATTTAATTTATTTAGATTTATGCAAAATGCAAAGAACAAAAAAAAAGTGATAGTGCAACTCAGAGAAATCATGGGTTTTTTACTGACCTAGTGATTGTTTATGTGCATTGTATCTGTGAGTGTGTGTAACCATCCTCCAACTTGGCCTGTTTTTCTTTTTTTTCCCCTTTTAAGTTTTTAAATGAATCTTAATCTGAATGAAGCATGTTGATTGGTTTGCAGCTGACTCAGAAAGAGGCTTTGGTGACACTACTGGACAACCGAACCTGGGCCAAACAGGGCATCGCCGAGGAGTTCGACTACATTGGAAATGCACAAGCCTGG